TCTACATCCTTCTCCAGCTTTGCCCAGAACCCTCTGTTGTGATCCTGGTCAGAGCAGTCAGTGGTGGTAGCCGGGCACCACCTAGCTGTACTGGACTCAGTCTGGTGGAGGCCTTGGTAGCTGTGGACAATTAGTCCTTCAGACTAATCTTTTCCTTGTATCCTGTTCTCTTTATTCTCCCTTGGTCCCGAAGGGATGAGACCAATGGAGTATCTTAGATGGCTGCTCACAGGCTTTTAAGACCCCAGACGCTACTCACCAAGGTAGAATGTAGAACACTGTCTTTATAAACTGTGTTATGCCAATTGAGCTAGATGTTTCCCGAGACCATGGTGAAAGGCAATCATTTTTAATTTTGATGAAGTCCAATTTACTGATTTTTCTATTTGGATCGTGCTTTTGGTGTCATGGCTAACAACTCTTCATCAAACCCTAAGATCCCAAAGATGGTATCCTATGTTATTTTCTAAAAGTTTATAGTTAAGTTTTACATTTAAATCTATGATCCATTTTGAGTTAATTTTGTATAAGATGTGAGGTTGAGGTTGTGGTAGAGAAAAACAATCGAATAGGCTAAGATAAGGGAAGAGAAAGTCAATTTAATGAGGTGATATTTAATGATTAAAAATAATTTATAATACTATTGAGAAAACAAAAAAAATTTATGACAATATTAAATGATAAAAACCAAATAGGATTTTAGTTTTATTAAAAATATGTAGGATCAGAAAGAAAAATGCAAAAACGAAAAGTTACATTAGAATGGAAGAATAATTGGTGATTGACAATTGTTCTTTTATTTTGATATTTTACCTTTATAATATGGAATAAGATTTCTTACCTACATGCTGACTTAGTGCCTGAACAACGTTTGTGGCAGCAGCATAGATCCCTGGATTCTTGGAATTCAGGTTGTTATCTACTATTGCTGGAATTAGCATGTTGATTATAGGAGATAAGTTGTCTCTAAGCAAAGGAATCATTTTGTGCATTGTTTCTAGAGCCACCAGATTTACTTTACTATTGGAATCATGAAGTCGAGACTTAAAGGCATCAAATATCTGAAAGTAAATTAGTAAATTACTTAAAGTGAAATAATGTTTACAGTTATTATATTTAAATTCCACTGTAGCATTTCATAGTATTCCTCCTATTCTACTTTAAAGACACACAGACACGCACACACACATCTTACTTAACCTGAACTTAAGATAATAGTAAATTTATGAAAATTGGATGCTGAATCTAAGTGTTTGAATCTTCCTGCCAAAAAGAGAACACATCAAAAATCACCTCCAAAGACTTTAAATATCCTAATAAATTAAGGTTGAGAAATTTGGAACACTGTAAATGTGATAAAAAGCTATTTTCTAGAAGGTACAGGTTAGCTTAGCTAACTCTAAGAACTTAAGGAAAATTTCTATTTTTAGCTCTATTCATAGCAGAGGTAGAAATGTAAATTGTACTATAGAGCTCTGACTTAGTTTCAGTTTAGTCTGTTATGAGAATTCTAGAGGCAATTTCAGAGTTACATTTTTATTATTGCCTCTTAACCTGGTTGATCACTTTAACAATTATTCTTTCTTCTTCAGAATCCTTAATTTTCATAAATTCAAGATATAATAAAGTCACAATCATGTCAAGTAAGTGAAGAGATACTCTATCAGTCTGAGACTATTAACTAATAACTTCTGAAGTTTGTTTATCTATCCATCAATCTATCATTTTTCATGTTAAAAAGTCTTCCCAAGAGATTTACTTTTACTCAAAAGTATATTAGAAAATATAACTTTCTGGCTCCAAGACACACGTAAAAGTTCATAATATGGTACTTTTCTTTTGAATATTATAAGATACCACTACTGGAATTAAGAGTAGCTATGGTATGTTTGCTAAACTTAATGTACATTATACAAATCTAAAATAATTTCGTTAGTAAGTACTAAGAGAATTAACTGAACTGAATTCAGAAGATGCATAAATAATGCATGCTCTGGCACCCCCATCATTTATTAGTATCTCCTATGCTATTGCTGGTTATATTCTTAAATGTATAAATTAGTATATACAGATTTCTAATCCACATATGAGAAGTTTTAGTATCTATTCTAAAGCAGTATCAAGTCTCTTAAATGTCTTTATTTTTATAATATTTATTGATTTATTCAACATATATTTATTGACTGCCAGGCTCTGAGAGCTCTGAGACTACAGAGCTTTCAAATACTTACTAACTAGAGGGAGAATTCAGACAAATAAGCAGCTGTTTTCTTACTTTCTCTTTTTCAATTCCTTTGAATTGTTCTAACATGCTTTTAACATAGCAAAACCTAAGCAATCCACTTTTTCCACTAAATTTCTTTTTAACAACTTAAAATAATACATATATAAAGTACTAAAAGTTTTTTAATACCAGTGAATTTTATTAACTACAGATTTCAAATGAAAATTGATTTTGAAAGGTACTTACCTTCACAATGTTTCCAACAACAAGTTCTTGATTGTTTTCAGTATCTGATAAAAGCTGCTTAATCCCATTAATACGATCACGAAAGTCTTTTGCATTTAATAAGCCCGTTATGACTTTAATGTACTCAGTACTTTCTAAGGTATTACGGGGAACTGATTTTCTGGTGACTTCACGAACTTCAGTTACCTCTCTAAAGTGAAAGAAAGGTAAATTTAATTGGGAACTTCCTCATAAAAAAACACAAACATTAGAAATAATTTTCTTTGTACATTCATTTTTTAAAAATGCACAAAATACTTCTGTTTGATCTATGAAATTTATTTTCAGACTTCTTTTAAAGGCTAGAATCTGTAATCTTTCTTTACAATAGAAAGTAATCTACAATCATAATATCTGTGTCGAGTGTCTCAAAACACTCTCAGTTTTGGTGATTCGCTAGGAGGACTCACAGGATTCGGCATATAGTCATACTCGTGGCTAAGATATACTACACTGAAAGGATAAAAAGCAAAATCAGTAAAAGGAAAAGGTGTATAGGGCGAAGTCTATAGGAAATCAGGTGTAAACTTCCAAGAGTCTTCCCCTTACAGCGTTAGAGATAAAGTGTTTAATACCTTCAGCAATGAATTGTAACAACATGTGTGAAATGTTGCCTACCAGGGAACCTAAGAGACTTAATGCTCAAAGATTTTCTTGGGGGCTGGTCACACAGGCATCCTTTGCCTAGCACATACCAAAATTCCATACTCCCATAAAAAAAGAAGTCTTCAGCACAAATCATATTGTTTGTCCATACAGTTTAGGCACAGTAAAACATACTTACTAGTTAGAGAATGGTGGAAACACTCCTAAAATAATTCCCAGATGCTAACCAAGGGCTAAACTTGCAAGCCAGCCTTTCTAAAGATAGCAGTCTTAGGCCTGCTATGTTAACTGGTTTAAACATGCATGGGAAAATGAGAAACATGAGACAGCAGGATTTACTATGGCATTGACTGTTAGTCACACAATGTTTTCCATGGCTATAAAGGGGTAAGTCAATGTGGCAAATGATGATCCCTTTGGAAACTAAAGAGCCACGCAAATTGGCAGGTCTTAAACACAATGGTGACAATTGCCAAAATTACTTTTATTTCTATGATTAATACTATTAAAACCAATGCTACGGCTGTCTTAAGAGTGGTAATTAAAGGATATATCAGAATCATCCTGAACGTGAACACAGGATAGTGACTAAAATGTAGATCCTAGATGTATTTTTCCTATATTTTAAACTTGTTTAAATAAATTAATCTGAGGTTAATTTGTAAAATCATTAATTCTATACAAAGAGAAAAATAGAGAATTAAATATGCACTTAAACTGAGGGTTATACAATACATAAAGGTAAATAAATGAAAAGAGTAGAATAGCAACAACCTCAAGAAGCCATCTAATTGCTAAAAAGTATCTTTGAAAGGGAGCCCTGGTGGTACAGTGGTTAAGTGCTCAGCTGCTAATGAAAAGGTCAGCAGTCCGAATTCACCAGCTGCTCCTTTGAAACCTTATAGAGCAGTTCTACTCTGTCCTATAGGGTTGCTATGAGTCGGAATTGACTTGACAGCAATTTTTTTTTTGAGAGAAAATATAGTTGCATATGATAAAGCATGCAAACTGTACCATGGGGAGGTTACTTATATTTTACCATAATTAAAAAAAATAAGGCAAGTCAAAACTTCTATGTGATACCAGTTCACAACCACTAGGATGGCTACAATAAAAAAGACAGAAAATAACAAGTGTTGGCAAGGATGTGGAGAAATTGGAACCCTCATGCACTGCTGGCGGTATTGTAAAATGGCACAGCTGCTTTGGAAAACAATCTGGCAGTTCCTCAAAATATTAAATACAGAGTTACCACATGACTCAGCAATTCCATTCCTAAGTGTATACTCAAGAGAACTGAAAACATATGCCCACAGAAACAAAAACAAAAATTGTCTATGAACTGATGAATGGATAAACAAAATGTGGTATATCCATATAATAAAATATTATCTAGCCATAAAAGGAAGAAGTATTGATACATCTACAGCATGGATAAACCTTGAAAACATTAGCTAAATCGAAGAAGCCAATCACAAAAGATTAGGCATTGCATGATTCCATTTATATGAAATGTACAAAACAAGCAAATACCAAAAAACAGAAAGTAGATAGCCTATGGTTGCAAATGGGGGAGGTATGTGGGGAAACAGGGAGTAACTGCTACTGGGTTTTAGGGGTTATGAAAATGCTCTAAAATTTATTATGATGATAGTTGCATAACTCAGTGAATAAACTAAAAACTATTGAATTGTCTACTTTAAATAGATGAAATATACGAAGCAAAAAAATGATAGAATTGAAAGTATAAATAAACCAACCCACAAATACAGTTGGAGTTGTTAACACTCTCAGCAACTAATACAAGTAGACAGAAAATCATAAGAATATAGAAGACCAATCAGGGCAGAATACACATTCTTTGAAGTAGACACAAAATATTCACCAAGATAGACCCCATGCTGGACCATAAAACAAGTCTCAATAAATTAAAAAAGACTGAAACTATATGAAGCACCGACATGAACTAAATTCAAAATGAATAACACAAAGATATTCAGAGAATCTCCAAATATTTGTAAATTAAATACTCTTCTAAATAACCCATGAATTAAAAAAGAAACCCCAAGGGTATTACCCAGCATTATACCAATACCAGAACCAAAGACATTAAGACAAGAAAAACTAGACTAATATCCCTCATGAATACAGTCACAGAAATACCCAGATCAAATCCAATGATAAATTAAATATATAACATCACTACCAAGTTAAGCTAATCCAAGAAAGTAAGTTTTTTAAAAAATATTTGAAAATCAATCACTGTAATTCACTATAGTAACAGAATAAAGGAAAAATATATGATTATATTAATGGACACTGAGAAAGCATATGACAAAATTCAACAACCATTCAGGATAAAAACTCTCAAACTAGAAATAGAAGGGGACTTCCTCAACCTGATAAAGGGCTTATATGAAACCTACAACTAACATCATCCTTGACGGTGAAATACTGAATGTTTTGCCCCTAACATTAGGAAAAGGGTAAGAATATCTGTTCTTACCACTTTTATTTAACATTGTATTCAATGTTCTAGCCGGTTCAACAATAAGGCAAGAAAAAGAAATTAAAAACACACAGATTAAAAAGGAGGAAATAAATGCATGATGATCCTGGAAAATCTTGTGATGTCAGAAAGTAAGAAAGTGTTCAGTAAAGGAAAGGGCATGCTGAAAAGTACAACAGGCAATCTGAGGAAGCTCCCAAAGCTGGAACAGTTTGAACAACAAAGTAATAAATAATGATAGTACTGAATTATAACCCACAGAATAAAATGAGTATCCATTAGTCCATACTAACATAAATAAATACTCGAGTAAATAAATAAGTGGAGGCAAAACAAACAAAAAACCTGTTGCCACTGAGTTGATTCCAACTCACAGTGATCCTCTACGTCAGAGTAGAACTACAGTTTTCTTTCTTTCTTTTTTTTACAAAAGAATTTCAACTAATAAATGCAGAAGGAATGAGCGAAATAAAAATCATCATTATGTAAAAAAGAAATATATATATAATGATGCAAGAAATATCAATGGTTGCTAAAATTAGCAGGCAAAAGTATGATGATAAATAGAATATTTTTTTAGTCTCTAAGTATTCCAAGATACTTATTAATTACAAAGGGAAAAAAATAACTTTATAGTGAAGAAACATGGTAGAAACCAACTTAACCAAATGATCACATTTAACATCAATAGTAATATGACATAACAAATCATGAACCTCCTGACTGATGCACTGAGAAGGGCATAACATCACTTTTTTGGTATTCTTGCTGAAAATGAATAAGCTCAATCTAACTGTTATAAAATATCAGACAAACTCAAATTGAATGACATTCTACAAACAAGTAACTCATCATTAAAGTGATTAGAAAAGGCCTAGCATATAGCATGCTCTCAATAAATGTTTTAAAAAAATGTTTTTTTGGAGCATGCCAGAAAAGGTTGTTGACCAAAGTATCTGATTCAAGATCTTATGCAATTATACCTTAATGTGGGAAAATGGCAAATTCTGATTGAATAAGTTTGGAGGGAGTATAAGATTCTACATTTCAAACAAGCTCCTGGGTGATGCCAATGTGGCTGTTCTGTGGACTGAATTTTGATTAGCAAGGTTCTAAACCATGTATTTTCATATAGATTTTTATTTTTCATAAACTTTATTATCTTAATTTATAAAATATTTCAAAGATATACAAATACAGAAAATACGGCAGATATCTATGTATCTACTCATACAATATTTGTATAATGTTCAAAATATATTTAAAAATACACCAGAGAGGTCATAGTAATACTTTGGAAAGATTTTTAACAGTTGTATAATGAATAAATTTAATATTGTTAAACAGTTTAAGCAGGTTCTAAAACTGTATATACCATTATATTTATAAACAAACCGAAAAAACCTGAGAGTAGTTTTTTTCTGGTTAGTGAAATTATGGATGTTTGCTTAAACTCCCCTTTTAATGTTTGTATTTTCTAAAGATTTTTTTTTATTAACCATAATGATATATTACTTTTATAACCAGTAAAAAAAAAGTAAACCTTATTAAAAAAAAAATCAGAGTTGTCCAACATAGGTCTAATATTGACAAGTTCGGTAACACTGAAGATTTACTAATGGATACAAATATGTTTAGTGCATGTAAAAGCAAGTTGTTGTGAATATATAATTGCCTTATTAAATCTAATTACCCCACACTTTCTATGCCCTTACAAACTTTTAAAACTCCATTAAATTTTGACTAATACCCCTGGGATAGTTCATGAAAACATCCAAATCAGACTACTATCGCTAGGGAGTGATTTCCCTAACGACATGGACTATGTAATGACCCTACCTTTCAGCTGAATTGAAAGCATCTCTAGAAACAGATGATGACCTTGTATTTCCAACACTGCCTGTATGAGAACGTCTTCCTTTTGCTGAAGGAGGATCTAGTGGTATCTCCCCAAACCCCTATAAGTAAATATAAAAAATAGTAGTCTAATAAAAGTCTGAAAACTAATTAAGTGAAATAATTTAGATAATGTAATTTTCATAACAGCCAGCATTGCTTTTTATGATTGAAAGCATTTTAATAATCTGCTATATTTACGCTTTAAAGGGTATCGGTTGTGTAAAATATCTTGTAATCAGTAGTAAATGAACAAAATATGTGATCTAATAGGAACTTATACCGACTTAGTAAAACAAACTGTTTAAAAAAAAAAAAAAATTTTTAAACTAATATTTTATTGTGTTTTTGGTGAAGGGTTACACTACAATTTAGGTTCCCACTTAACAATTCCTATACAAATTGTTCAGTGACACTGGTTACATTCTTCACAATGTGTGAACATTCTCATTATTTCTACTCTGGTTGTTCTATTTCCATTCATCTAGTTTCCCTGCCCCTTTACATTTTCATGTTGGTTTTAAAGTGATTATTGGCCATTTGGTCTCATATAGGTGATTTTTTAAAGGCGTGCAGTACTTACAGGTGATATTCATTATTATGTGAGCTGATCTGTAACTTAGCTACAAGGCGACCTCAGGGGATATTTCAGCTCAAGGTTTGAAGAGTATCTCAGGGAAACAGTCTTGGGGAGGCCTCTGGTCTCAACCAGTCCAGTAAGTCTATTTTTAAGGAATTTGAGATTCTGTTCCACATTTTTTTTTTTTTTTTGCATTCTATCACGAGTCTATCAATTGTGGCCTTGATTAGAACAGTTGGTAGTGATAGCTAGGCACCATCTAGATCTTATAGTCTCAGGGTAAACAAGGCTGTGGTAGTTCATGTAGACTATTAGTCCTGTAGACTAGTCTCCTTCTTTGTGTTTGCCCCAGACAAGTAGAGACCAATAGTTATATCTTAGATGTCTGCTCCAAGCTTTTAAGACCCAAGACACTACTCACCAGACTAGGATGTAGAACATAACTTTATGAACTATATATGTAAATCAACTGAGACTTTCCACAAGACTATGGTCCTAAACCTTCAAATCCAGAAAACTAATTCCATGAGGTGTTTGGTTATATCTAGGAAGTATCTGTAACTGTGCCCCCATGTGCTTTATTATATATATGAATATATATGCATAGTCACATAGATGCATATACATATACATATGCATATACCTATATATACACACCTATATACTCACATAAACATACCTATACACATATATGCCTACATACATATCAATACATATATTTTTTGGTTGTTTTTGCTGTTGTTACAATAAAAAAAATTAATATGTTGTATTTTATAACTACTCTTCTTGAAGTTTAAAATCTATATAGAAAATCGGAATACAGTTCATAAACAGTTGAATTCCTATGCAACATTAGGAGTGTGAGAGTGAATATTTTGATAAGAAGTATTTAAAACCTCTTTTTTTCTGATAGATGTAATGACTCATGAATATAATCTGCCTCATTTTAGTAAAATAATTTTTTGGCATGGTTATGTTTAATAAGTTCTATATGAATTAAGCTCAAGTTCTCAAGATCAATAAGCAGAAAAATGCTCTCAAACAGACATTACCACACATCTTTGCAATATTATCCTTTCACAAATGAATCCTTAGCCCAAGGTTATCAGAGAGGAATGACATATAATAGAAAAATTCTACATTAAGTTAAGCATATTTTTGAATAAAATAATATGTAAATGAATTACTTTTTTAACAAGGCACTCTGCACATTCCACTTGGCATTCCGTCAGTCGTTCATTCAACAGACATTACTGAATCCCCATTAGCCACTAGGATAAGGTACAGCATTTACCCTAAAGGAGCTCCCTATAAATTCTCTGCAGCATGCTAAGAGCTCTTACAGTAGAACATACATGGTAAATAAAGCAGGCACCAAGCATGGAAAACATACTATCCTCGTTTTATAAAAATAAAAGCTCTGGTTAGTGAAATAAAGTGAGATGCCTAAAATTACATACTTCCTAACTCTCTGAGTTGTGACTCAAATGCAGGCTTGTAACTCCAATATGCCGCACTACATTCTACCAAACATCATGTTTCTGTTCAATAAATATTTACTTCCCATGCCTGCACTACGTATGTTTATTCAGTACTACAGTTGTTGAAATGCTACTATATGTAGATAAACTGTGGATGGTTAATAGAGCAGTAATGAAAGATTGATTTCTATTCTTTATGTTCCTGGGGAAATAAACTTTGCTTTTAAAGATGATTACAAAACAAATTTTTTCCACATACCTTTTGCCGTAAGTTTTTAACAGATTCCTTAATATAGGGTAAATCTTTAGATGGGACATACTTTTCAAGCATTTTATCGAAGTTAGGATGACACATCATGAGGAAAAGCATCTTTCGACCATAATACCTACGGATATTTGAGAAATACTTAAATACTTTGCATATATCAACAATCTCAGTTTCTGATCTTGACTGAAAATATTTTCAATAGAAAAAAATCTATCAACATCAAGATCTCCAAACCTATTTTAAGTAAGCCACTGAAATGTAATTATACTAACTGAACCAAAGAGTATTGGATTCTCCTGTCCCAACCCCCCTCCCCTTTTTTTCTTTTAAATCACTCTAGCTTCCAATCTTTTAGCCATAGGTCAGATGGAGAGCCAAAGGCTCTTTCTTTTTAAGGCAACCTAGTATCCATATCAAAGCTAGCATGTGGCAGAACTGAGAGGTAGGAGAAGTTTGTCTTTGTCCTGGCCTGGTTGCCCAGTGACCTTTTGCTGCTTACCTGCTAACCAGATGTTCTGGCCTGAGTCAAGTCTCCCTAGGTCTTGTATTTCTGACCTTCTCTTTCATTTTCCTCTAGCCAAAACTTTCTTGGGTTCCAATTCGTCAAAAACCTATTCTCTGCTTTCTAAAATACATGCAAGGTTAGCTGATAACCTTGTTAACGAATGTTATAATACTCTCCAAACATGCTGACATGTTAATGAATGTTATAATACTTTATGGACTAGGTTTTTATGTTATACAAATTTTTTAAAAATCTTCTTAGTACAATACCTTAAGCCAAGATATCATTCTATTAGTGAAATTTCAGATAGCATGGAAGTGCGTATTGGAGATATTTTTGGACTGTTACAGTACCTAATAATACCACATAGACTTCTGTCCTGTCTTCAACGGAGCCTGGACCTAAAATAAATTATAGTAATATTTTTGTCTATAACTTGGAATGCATGGGACTAGAAGAACCAGAGAAGGCAAGGTTTTTTTTTGGGGGGGGTGCAAGATTATCTCGGGGTTATCAACATCAAACCAGACCCCTTCAAATGTAATACAATTGCAAAAAGGGAGGAAAGTTACGTGATGTCAAAGAATAAATATTATTTCTCTCCCCACAACCAGTATAAGGTCTACACTCAGATAAGTAGCTCCTAATCAATTATGATTTCAAGGACAATTCTAATTTTTAGCCTGGGATGTTGAGGACTGTAGGTCCACTATAGGGCGTGAGGATATAGGAAAGGTTAAAACAAACAAGCAAGCAAGCCATAGGGACATAAAATGTGAGAAACACTAAAACTTGAAAATTGTAACCATTTTATAATTTTGAAACTTCAAATAAGAATGTAAGAAACGCCAAAATGTGTTGGGATAATGACAATACTATTAAGGAAAAATTAAGTAAAGATGTACACAAAACAAGCGCTATCAATTTTTTTTTGTTCTTAACCAGTCTATCATGATGACCTGCCCTAATCTCTGGAATCTGTGAATATGATGAGGTATCCCTCCCAGGATTGTTACCGTATGTGGCACTGTTGACTTTTAAGATAGAGAGATTATCTGGGTGGGTCTAATCTGAGTCTTTAAAACCAGAGTGCTTTCTGCAGCTGACAGTGGAACAGGAAGTCAGAGTAATTCTATGCATGAGGGAGATTCAACAAACCTTGTTTGCTGGCTTGAAGATGGAGGGGGGTGTCTGAGATGGAATATGGGTGGCCTTAAGGAGCTGAGAGAGAACCTGGCTGAAGCCAGCAGGAGATGGGGATGTCAGTCTTGTAACTACAAGAAATTGAATTTAGCCCACAACCTGAATGAGCTTGAAGTGCATTCTTCCACAGAGCCTCTAGGTAAAATCCCAGCACAGTCATCACCTTCATTTCAGCCTTGTGACTCCCTAAGCAGAGAACCCAGTTGAACCACGCTGAATTTCTGATCTAAAAATCTGCAAGCTCATAAATCTGTGTTGCTTCAAGATGTTAAGTCTGTGGTAATTTGTTCTGCAGCAATAAAAAACTAATACATTTACTTTCTGCATTAGCTTTTGGTATAATAATTTCCACAAGATAAACTTCAACTACCTAAAGTAACAGACTTTGTCTTAAAATATTAAAAATTTGATATCCTTCATTATACTTTAATCTCTATGAACTCAGGATCCTCCCTCCTCCCTTCAAATATATCTTCATACATAATTGTCATGAAATTTCAGATTTGTATGGGACATTGGACGTCACCTAGTCTAACCCTCCTAATTTTACAGATGAGGAAACAGAGGCTAAGAGAGGTTAAGTAACTTGCTTAAGGTCAAACAGTGCCTAGGTTCTGATTTTGTCTAAAATTTCCGTCACTATCACAACTATGGTAGTGCTCCCATCTTAATTATTTTGTCATCTTTCTCTGAGTGTTCTTCAACTTCAAGTACAGCAATTAAAAATTCATGGTGTATCCTAAGTGCAGATATCACATATTTCAGGGGATAATTTATTGTCTTCTATTTTGCTTCCTATATTTTTCATGTGCGCCTATGTCCTTAATATGCCTGATAGCTTAGAAAATATATCATTCCTGCCAAACTGCATTACCTTACACTTGCCCACACTAAAATTCCTCTGTTAATTTTCTGCCCACTCACATAGTCTTGAGCCGTTTTCATGTTAACTCATCCTTGTGACTTGGCATCTCAACTACCCAAAAGTATGCACTGTCATCTGTAATTCTGGAGAATTCACTGGGCACTCACTCAAGATCATTTACAAATTTGTTAAATACAACCATTCCCCAGCACCAATCCCTGGGGACCCTACTTCTCCATTTAGAAAAATGTTCATTCTTTAACCATTGTTTTCTACTTTTAAGCCCTTATATTAAAAGATTTAGCAAATATTATTATCACCTATTCACCTGGTTTCTTGTGAACTGTCCTGGGCAAATTTAGCAGCAGCTGGTAATATACGGTCAGCCATATCCTTTGTTCCAGATAAAACACGTTCTGGTTCCATACATTCCAGTACATCTGATAAGTGCTGAGCTGTACATCTTCTGACTGCTATGTGTAAGTGGCTACAAAAAAACACGGTCAATTAAAACAAAGTTGATGTATGAACTATTTTCCAGAGATCTATCTTTAAAGTTAAATGATTAAACTGTTCCTATCCCTCAACAACCATCCTTGCAGGCTAAAGTGATAAATTATTTGCATTAGCTATCCCTCACTAAGAAGTTAAAAACAACAAATCTCACAATTACTGACATTTATTTATTTCCAGATCTATGAATGTAAGCAATATCATTAGCATAACTATCACTATTCTTTGTATGCTCAGCACCTGACATGATGCCTATCACATAGGAGTTATTAACATATTTTATTTTTCGGCTGAAATGACATTAAAATCTGCTTTTTCCTACACTCAAGATTGCAAACAATTCTCTTTTTAGTTTAAGGACATTTCAAGATTATTTTGAACATTACCTTTGCCCTCCATTGATAAGAGAAATGACTGCACGTGCAGGAGTTACATTATTAACCATCGCCCTCAATGCTTTGTCAACATCTTCTCTTATAAATGTATTAGATTCTCCAGCCTTGTGTAACAAAACTTTTACTGTAGTATCTAGCTCTTGATCCATGCTCTTTTTCAGGTACGTGAAAAGATCACTTAAACAGACCACAGCAGCACGAGAAACTCCAGAGCGTAAATTTTTCACCTAAAAAAAATTCACCAAGGTATATTTTGCTGAGTCTGAAAGAAATTCAGTAATAATAACTTTGAAAACAATTTTACCATTAAAGTTCTTCTTTTACAAAAACGAGGGCTCTACTTTTTTTTTTCTAAGTACACTTCATTATCATGATGACTTGTGTGAGGAACTAAAATATACATCATTTTCTTGCTATTATAAAATCTTTTCCTATTGTTCACAGGTATATAATGGGGGATTTGGATGAAATAATTACAAACTTTTTCCCCTTAAAAAAACAAACAAGCCAAAATAAAAAAGTTTCCAACAACAGTAAACACAAGGAGGCTGGTTTCTTCCCTGCTCCCTCCCTGCTCCTGGCCAGGCCAGTTGAGCCAAAGGTCACTCTCAAAGTGCTTGGTGCACGTGACAGATAAGGATCCCAGAACACTCCCTCCAAGACCAAACTTTGTGCCCTTCTTGCCCCACCGGCCCCAAGCATCTCCCTCACTTCTCCAGCCTCTCCAGGCTTTCTTCTCTATTCCCCTTGGTGAGCATCATCTTTCTGGCACCCCCTGCCTCTTCTCCATGCCCCAGGATGATGGGTGTGTGATCCCAGGCTGGAGGTCACAAGGCTGAGCTCAGAAAGGAACCCCCAGGCTGCAGTGCAGTAACCAGCACCCTCCCCAGCAGGGACCAGCCTCCCCAGCACCCAGCCCACCTCCTCACACAGAGCCATGCAGCTGACCAGAGGGAAAGGGGGCCGCCTGGGGACCGGGCCTCAAAGCAACTTTGGCATGCAGCTCAGAGGGAGACAATGTTACTAGGTCTCATGCAACCTGAGGGCAGAGAAAATGGGGTTTGGCCATGCCAGTCAGAGGTCAAAGGCCAGGAGATGCCAGGAAGAGGGAAGAAAGGGAATAGAAGTACCCCCCAAGGGCACGTATTTTGGGCTGGCCCTGGGCCTGGTTTACAGGTTGCAGGAGCCCTCTGGAGAAAGATCTGGAACAGACACCCTGTGCAAAGGCTGGGAAGACCTTTAGGGACACCTTGCAGGATCCAGGGAGCCCAGAGGGGTCTGCCTGGGTATGAGCGATGGAGGGTCTCCTTCTGGGGAGGGATGTGAGCAGCAGGGACCCAGAGAGGGGAAAACCACTGTTGTCTTCCTGGCCCATTTTAGGGGCTTCAAAATTTGGATGTGCCTGGCAGCAGGGCAGGGCAGACACATTCTTGGGATTCGGGGAGGGACTCTCAGGGCAAGGGGTAGGACAGTACCATTGACTGGGCAGTAGGGTCAGCAACTTCATTTTTCCTAAGGCCCCTACCTGAGAGAGGCCAGTCTCGTGGGGTCCCCACTTTCCCCGGTGCTGAGGACAGTATGGACGTCAAGGGGAAGTCCTGGGAGCCGGGGGTGCTGCACAGAACCCCCCTGCAATGCTCTCTTCTTCTATACCCAAGCACAGCCCGGCTGAGCAGGGGTCACAGCAGACAGCTGGCCCTGGACCCTCCTGCCTCTCAAGGACCGGAGCCTCGCCCTGAGAGTCAGAGCAAACAGCAGGTAACAGGTGGGCTGAGCATCCGGGCTGAGCAGGAGGGCCTGGGGCAGTCCTCCCTCATCCCCAGCCCTCCCGGGGACAGCCTCTGCTGCTTAAACCCAGGCTCCTGGACACCATCTCAGCAGGACGGGCAAGCGATGTGCTCTGGACTCAGCAGTCACCCAGGGTCTGTCCGTAACGCCGTGAGCACCCACCCCCTTGGTGCTCTGGGTGATGGCACCCTCAGCAGGGCTAGCCTAGGTTTCCTCTATGTACAAGTAGCATGCCCCGTGCATGTCACAAGGACCATGCAAATTCATGGTTAGGACACTGAACACCCACCCCACCCCTAGGGCTGCTGAATCCTGGAAAGTTGGCGGGCATTTTCCCTCTGAGTCATGGAGCTAGAGACCGACTTCAGAGCTGGAGCAACTCTTCCGAGAAAATCCGTGGGTCTGGTTCCTGCTGTCACTGGACGCCTTCCTCTTCTACATATGTTGAAGGAAACCAGCCAATCTTTTGAGACTGAGGCAGCTTGGCTTCTTGTGTCCCTTGTCTCTTCAGCTTCTGCTTCTGTTTCCTGTGCCCTCTTGGCCCTCAGGCCTCATGCCCGCATCTGCCCTGCTGAGGCAAGTGTTCCAAAGCTCTGTAGCTCCACCAGTATAAGTGCCCGGAGGCACCGCACTCAGCCAGAAAGCCTCGTGCACACAGACACTCAGCTCTCTCGCTCCATGGGTCAGCAAGCCTAGATCCACCGATAAGTGCCCAGAGGCACCCCACTCTGCCAGGAAGCCTTCTGCTCACAGGCATTCAGCTCTCTCGCTCTGTGGGTTGGCTCCAGCGCCATCTTTCACCGGTCTCCTGGTTCTGTTGCTGTTGGTTCTCTGCCGCTGCTGCTTCTCTGCTGCTGTAGGTTCTCTTCTGCTGCTGGTCCTCTGTCACTGCCGCACGTCTATCCATTCACAGTTTTAAAACCGCTTCCACATTTTAGGTATCTGTTAGAGCAGCACCCCACTCTCTCGGTACCAAATTCTGTCTTTGTCATCTAGTGCTGCTATAACAGAAATACCACAAGTGGATGGTTTTAACGAACAGAAGTTTATTTCCTTACAGTAAAGTAGGCTAAAAGTCCAAATTCAAGGTGTCAGCTCCAGGGGAAGGCTTTCTCTCTCTCAGCCTTCTCATCAGTGTTCCCCAGGACTAGAAGCTTCTTGGCATAGGGACCCCTGTCCAAAGGACGCACTCTGCTCCTGACACTGCTTTCTTGATGGTATGAGGTCCCCTAAAGTTATACATTTTAATATAAAAAACTCAAACCAAACCCATCGTTGTCGAGTCGATTCCTACTCATAGCGACCCTGTAGGACAGAATAGAACTGTTCCATAGGGTTTCCAAGGAGCGGCTGGTGGATTCTAACTGCTGATCTCTTGGTTAGCAGCCTCTCTCTTAACCACTGCGCCAAATGTCCTAAAATCACCTAATATATTTTTAAAATGTTTCAAAATAAGGAAAGGGTTACTTCAGCTACATGTATGCCTACTCATATTATTTAGTAGAGTTTTTTTTTTAGTTTTATTTTGTTGTTGTTGAGAATAGACATAGCAAAATATACATGAATTCAACAGTCTTTACATGTACAATTCAGTGACACTGATTACATTCTTCCAGTTGTGCAGCTATTCTCACCCTCCTTTTCTGAGTTGTTCCTCCCTCATTAACATAAACTCACTGTCCCCTAAGGTTCCTATCTAATCTTTCAAGTTGCTGTTATCACTTTGATCCCATATAGTTCTATCCCCCCCACCCTCTTAGGCTTTTTGTAAAATTCTGATTTAGGTGAAAGTTTACAGGGCAAATTAGTTTCTCATTTAAAAATTTATACACAAATTATTTCACGAAATTGGCTGCAATCCCACATCGTGTCAGCACTGTCCCCCTTTCCCTTTCCACCCTGGGTTCACCGTGTCCATTGCTCACTTTTCCTGTCCCCTCCCGCCTTCTTGTCTTTGTTCCTGGGCAGGTGTTGCCCATTTGATCTCCTATACTTGATCGATCTGAGGATCACATTCCTCACGTGTATTATTTGTCTTACAGGCCTGTGTAATCTTTGGCTGAAAGATGAACTTCGGGAGTAGCTTGAAGTCTGAGTTAAAAGGGTGTCCAGGGGGCCATAGTCTCAGGGGTTCCTCCAGTCTCTGTCAGATCAGTAAGTCTGGTCTTTTTTGTGAATCTGATCATTTGTTTTACATTTTCTCCCGTTCTGTCTGGGACCCTCTGTTGTAATCCCAGTCAGAGTGGTCGGGAGTGTAGCCAGGTACCATCTAGTTCTTCTGGTCTTGGGGTCATGTAGGCTGTGGTTCATGTGGTCCGTTAGTCCTCTGGACTAATTGCTCCCTTGGTTCTTTCGTATTTTTCCCTCTCCTTTGCTCCAGACTAGAAGAGACTGATAGTTATATTTCAGATGGCCGCTCGCAAGCTTTTAAGACACCAGATACTACTCACCAAAGTAGGATGTAGGATACTGTCTTTAAGAACTATGCTGTGCCAATTGATGTAGATGTCTCCGGAGTCTACGGTCCTTTGCCTTCGAGCCTGGGAACTTCATCCCATGAGGTGTCAGACTAAGAGGTTTCCCCAACTGTGCCACTTGTGTGTTCTATTGTTTATATCAATATATGAGGAGCACCTACAGTCATGTATTTAGAAATTTGCACCTCCGAACCTGCATCTGCCAGTGGGTGTGTTCCCTTACCCACTCCCTCACCTCTTGGCATATCTATCTATGTATCAATTCGTAGGTTACTGTTTGTTGATTATATCGTTGCAGGACTGTCTGTGCTATGGTAGTTACCATAGTTGTGAGAGATTTTTTTTAAAAGATCAAATAAATGTGGCATATTTATTGTTATTCAAACAAAAGCTGAAAAATACCTCTTGAACTACTGCAAAGCTTGTTTCATGCAACTTTGTGTTCAATATTTCAGAATGAAAAGCAGCCAAGCATCTAATAAAATTCAGTCCTTCAATTTTCTTCTCCCTATGAGAAAAAGAAACAAATGACAAAAACATTAATTAAATGAGGCTCAACTGGAACAAGATCTCAGATGTCTTATTTTTTGTGCATTCTATATTGCCAATGAAGAAAACTTGCCCATTTTCCCTCATCATTTAGGAATCTCAAATAAAAAATATATAGAGATTGTTTACTCCAATACAGGTCTCTTTTGTGATTCAGAAGATCTTTTAGGGGTCAAAACCACTATTGACAATCAAACTAAGTTCATTCTTTTTAAAAAAAGAACATATCTCCCTCTAATAAGAATGTCATATTCCTTCTAAACAGTAGAAGAAGGGAAAGGAATGACAAACAAAAGATGAGGGAAACAGTAAGGTAGAAATGGAGGGAGATCAAAACCACAATGATATACCATTTCACACCCACTATGATGGCCATATTAAAAAAAAAAGTGTCCAGCATGTACAGAAACTGAAACCATCATTCCTTGCTGGTGGAAATGTAAAATGTTGCATCTGCTGTGGAAGACAGTTTGGAGGTCCCTCAGTAAGTTCAACATAGAATTAGCATATGCACCTGCAATTCCACTCCTAGGTATATATTCAAAAGAATTAGAAGTAGGTATACAAACAAAAAATTCTACACAAATGTACATAGCAGCACTACTCACAATAACCAAAAGATAGAAACAACCCCAATATCCATCATGGATGAGTGGATAAATAAAATGTAGTATATCCATACAAGGGAATATTATTCAGCTATAAAAAGAAATGAAGTATTGACATATGCTAAAACATGTGATGAACCTTGAAAACATTATGCTAAGTGAAAGAAGCCAGAAACAAAGGACAACATATTGTATGATTTTATTTATCTGAAATGTCTAGAAGAGGCAAATCTGTAGAGACAGAAAGCAGATAAGTGGTTTCTAGGGACTGAGGGGATGGAAGGGAAATGGAAAATGACTACTTAATGGGTACGAAGAGAAGTTCTGGAACTAGATAGTGGTGATGGTTATACACACTGTAAATGTACCTAATTCCAATGAATTTACACTTTGAAATAGTTAAATGATAAATTTTTATTATGTATATTTTACCACAATAAAAAAAAAAAAAATTTTTTAAATGAAGGAAGGAAAGTAACAACCTGTTACCTTATTGGTGAGTATGTTATCCAAGAGCAGAAAACCACCATTAGATGTTTCTGTAACTTGTAATTCTTTTTAATTATCTGACCAAATAAGACAGATGAAGGTTAGGTGGCTACTAACAAGAACACAGTTCAGAGGGAACTTAGATAAAATATTTCAAATTTGATGGTTTTCATCTTGTGGGTTTGAAGAATGTGCGCTAAGAAGAGTTTCCTTAGCTGGCAACAATGATCAGTTGTTTAAGCCTTTAAGTTCCCTGAACATATTATGAAAATAGAGAGAAAAGACCTAAGACTCTAAGGTGGCAAAAGTAAACCTATTTACATTAATAGCTGTCAGGTACAAAATTCTCATTTTTTTGATAATCATAAAACAATTACAGTTTGGATGCAGAAACAACCCAATTTTACACACATAATCAGAAAATAATAGAAAGTGGTATGTGAGACCATTCAACGTTTGGGGCTGTGGGACCTGTGGAATACAGGTAGATCAGAGAGGACTTGAGTGGTTCAGAAGATCTTTATGGAGGGGATGATACTCAACTGAGACACTGAAGAGGGAGAATTCGAGAAAGAGAACTTACCAAATAAAAAGAATGTAGTGAGGTGTGAACAAGCAGGTTATGAGAAGAACAGTTTGACAAAAGTAGAATCTATACATTGGGAACAACAAGTTTACAAAGTCAATTTGAGGCCAGAAAACGGCCTTGAAAGTCAGAATTTAGACTCAAAGCATTCACCTTACTCGACACTCAGTGGCAGTAAACACAGTCGATTACAAACTCTTTCTGGACACACACTCATCTTTGGTGTCTGTAATACCATACTGTCCTGGTGTTTCTCTTTAGACACCTTCTCCATCTTCACTCTAAGTATCCTCTTCCACCTCAACTTCCTGTTCTCTACTATACCCTTCTCTTTTGTCAGTTTATATTTTCTCCCTAGGTGATCTCAGACATTTCCACTGCCTTAACAGATGTCTAGTAATCACCCCAGACCAATTAAGAATTTCTACAGATGGGCCCAGGTATGTGTGTATGTGTATGTAATATAATGTATATACTACCATGTTAAAATAGATTTATTGTTTTCCATTTTACTATTTTTTTTTTTAAATCAAGACCTGGCATATCAAATGTTTTGTCAATATCTTTGCATATGACTGCATAATTTTTATCTTTAAATTTATCAAAATGATAAATTGCTGTATTTTTACACAAATTAATGTGTACCTTCTACATTTGTTTGCCAACCACAATCTCCTCTGCCAAGTTATTTTTAGAAGCACAACTATGCCATTTTTTTTCACATGTTGCCATTAAAAAAAAAAAAATTAGCATAGCGTGCTTATGAAAATAGCTAGCAGGGGAGGGTGTGGTTGGCAAACAAACGCAGACAGCACAGATTATTTGCATAAAAATACGATACTGAGAGAGTTCTTAATATTGAAACATATTATTTCCTAACATTTATAAGTATTATTGAAAGAAACCTCATTTGGTCACGATGTCTTATTTTTTGATTGATTCTGTTTACTGGTATTTTATTCAGAATTTTTACACTGATAATTAAAAAATAAGACTAGTCTGTAGTCATCATTTTATGGCCAATCTTTGTCAGATTTTATACCAATCATAAGAACAATTTGCAAGTTTTCTTTCTTTTCCTACACTTTAACCAAAACCAAACCAAATCCATTGCCATTGAGCCCACTCCGAATCATAGGAACCTTATACGACAGAGTAGAACTGCCTCATAGGGTTTCCAAGGAGCAGCTGGTGGATTCGAGCCGCTGACTTTTTGGTAAGCAGCCAAGCTCTTAACCTCTGTGCCAGCGGGGCTCCCCCTATGCTGTAGCAGAGTAAAAGCAGCATTGGAATTATTTGCTCTTAAGGGTTTGGTAGAATCCTTGTTAAAGAGTTTGGGCTGATAATTTTTAGGGAGGGTAAATAGCCCTGTTCCAACTTTAAAAAATTTCTGTGGAAATCAGCCTGTTTAGATTTTTTTTCTCTCTTTTGGGCAGTTTTGGTAAATTGTATTTTCTTAGACAGGTATCTATTTCATCCAGGTAGGCAAATGTTTTTGAAATGAATGGACAATATCTCTCAGGATTCTTTCAATTTCCTTAGGTTTTATGAATATTGTCCCCTTATTTTTTATTTTACATATTTATACTTTCTCCCTTTTTTTCTTACTTAGGTGTTCTAATGTTTATATACATATATTTAAGAATCAGCCCTGGGACATAACACAAGCAGTCATCACAGAATAAATGTGGTACCTTCCACACTGAACAATGGTGGGTGTCCAGATAAAACTAGACAAAACACACAAAACTGTTTTCAGACACTGAAAAACCGGCAGCACAGGACCATCACTCCTAATAAACAGAAAATAAAGTCAGTCTTACTGTCATCTCAGCATACTGCCTGCAGGAACTGTCTAGACCACTGTATATGGAGGGAGAATCTAAGCAGAGCACAATGGTCTCACTGAGGTAAAGATGATAGAGCTTATGTTTTGAGAAGACTTAGGAAGTGGAATTTGTAGGGCAGAGTACTAGAGAGAAGGAAGCTGCAGAAAAAAAAAAAAAAAAAACTCCATAGGATGCTCTTTGCAGCTTTGGCTAAATATTAAGCTGCATATGCCTTAGGTGAGACTCTATGAGGTCAGGCAAGGAACAACTACTGGTGAGCTGTAAGAAAAACAATTCCCATAGTTCACACAGGAGGCCTTCGAGTTCTGACCAATTCTAACAAACTGGGGCATTTGTAAAGATAGTAGAAGGATCATACCTTAGTAACAGGACTAAACTAGCCCCAAAGTAGACTCTAGACCTGCTCTAACAAAGCTTAAAAAATAATTCTCAAAACGATCAAACTAATTCACAGAAACCTTAACTGCCTGATAAAACGAAACGCTCTTTAAAGACAACAACATCTGGAACTTTGACAATATAATATTTACAATGTTCAGCAGCCAATGAAAAATTTGACATGCAAAAAAGCAGGAAAATGTGACTCAAAATCAAGACAAAAATCAGTTGACAGAAACAGATCTAGAAATGATGGATTTCAGATCCAGCAAAGAGTTTTAAATACCTACTATAGATATGTTCAAGGATTTAAAGGAAAATATGAAGATGATGGGAGAAAAATGAAAGATATAAAAAAGAACCAAACAGAATTTCTGGATGTGAAAAATATCTGAAATGAAAAGTTTAATAGATGAGCTTCACAGAAGACTGAGCAATTTGATTATGATGTCACTATAAGGACTTTTTATGGTTTTTCTTGTGCTTGGTGTTTGTTCAGCTTCTTGGATGTGTGGGTTAACAGCTTTCATCAAATATGGAAATATTTCAGCCATTATTTCTTCAAATATTTTTGTTTCTCTCCATTCTCCAGAAGTTCCAAAAACATATATATTAGTCTGTTGAAGCTGTCCCACAACTCACTAATGCTCTCTTCATTTTTTCTCAGTCTTTTTTTCTCTGTTTCATTTTAATCATTTTGATGACTATGTTTTCAAGTTCTCTATTCTTTCCTTCTGTAATGTTTAATCTACCATTAATCCTACCTAGTATACATCTGATCTCAGACATTTTAGTTTCCACCTATAGAAATTAGATTTTTATTTTTTTAATTAAATGTCTCTACTTCCTCAATCTTTCCTCTAGCTTTTTTAACATGTGGAAATGAGTAATAATTATAGTTCTAATGTCCTTGTCTACTAATTCTATCATTTAAGTCATTTCTGGGTTAGTACTGATTGATTCATTTTTTTCCCTTTCTTATTATACATTGTGTTTTCCTGGTTTTTTTTGTAATTTTTATTATTGTACTTTAGGTGAAGGTTTACAG